TATTTAGCCTTTTTATGATCGCAACCCCGGACCATCTCCTTCCTTTATAACTAATATAGTTTCATAAGGGAAGGTTACGGACATGGGTTCTCTAACTTCAGAAAATATTTTTTCGGCGATACTAGGTCGAATATGGGTTTAAAAAAAGACGCTAGTAATGAAGCATGGCAAGTAAAGTGCTGTCATAAAAAAACAATTCAAATCCGTTTTTAGCGACCACCAAACCTATTAAACAGTATACTTTATTGAATTTTAAAAAACAGAATTTTTTTATCCAAAATTTTGATCTAGCAGTTTTATCCAGTTTTCTGTCCTGATTTTTCAATATGCAGACTTCAACGGGATACCATTTTGTAGAGTATGGCGCCTATATACATAATTTTCTAGGGAGTTTTAATAGTACCACGCTGCCTGGATTCCCTCTCGCTCATTCAGCACAGTTCACCAGGAACAGGAACCGTGATATTTGTTTTGATGTAGGTCGTATTGTAGTTTTATTTTAATTTTTAAGATTAATAGTTTTGCGAATTTCGAATGGAGTCCCAGTGAATGGCGCACAGCGCACGTGCTCTTCTTGCATCCTCCGTCTATACGCCACTGTCTACTAGACAATCCTGGAATCTATTTGGACTTAAGGATTAGACCTGATGGGGATAGCAAGCTTTAAACCTTATCCAAAGATATTCTCCAAATTTCACTAAATCTTACACATCTACCGAATCCTCTTTCTCAATCTCTATTCTGCTCTATTGATCCATGCAATCCTCCTCGGAAGTTAAAACGTTAGTGGTTCCGAGATATTTTGCAAAGAAGCATATATTGGAGTTCCGGAAAATAAAAGATTCTCAAGTCATGTTCGTCTATGGTTAAAGCTTCTTTACACAGCCTCTATTGGTCATTAACATCAATGACCCGGCTAAGCGAGACTCTCTGTCTTTATTTCCACATGTGGGAGGAACGGTTTGGCTCCGAGTTCTCCTTAATGAATACTTTTTGTATGAATACTTAATGTGTATTTGTATGCCAGTATTTAAGTTGTTATTTTTATTAGTTCAAGCTTTTATATTAGTTTTGTTATTGTACGAATTTACGAAGTTATTGTACGGTGTAAATTAAGTCCTGTGCTATTATTATTAAGGTCCTATGATGTGACAAAATTTAATATAATTCAATAATGAAAATTTTAAAAAAATGATGGAATATTTTAAACATAAATAAATTTTCATTTTACACTTTAGTTTGGGTCTATCTGATAGTGCGAAGAGCATTAAGTGTAGCTGCACTTGGGAGAGAAATATGAATTTCAGCTCTGACGTGAACATTTTTAAGATTTATATATATATATATATATATATATATATATATATATATATATATATATATATATATATATATATATATATATATATATATCGATGCATCCCTACTTGGAAGCATCCATACTCTCTCGTCTAAAGTAAAGGGGTAAAGGACGTCTCCCCGCCTAAGAAAGGATGATCAACAAAAAGACACGACGAGGGATAGGAGGGAGAGAGTGATTGAGAGGAGATGAGCGGCTGATGGCTGTAGCCTGGAAATGACGCGCTCGGTCCATTTCCCGGGTGATTAGCTAAGCGGAAGTTGATATCCGGGGCTACTTCCCCTCCCTTAATATTCCCGTTCCTCATTGCACCGTTCCCGAACTGTTCCCCGTATCACTAGGGAGTCCCGTCCCATCAGCTCTCAATAAATCTTATCGAACCGTGTTATAGTTTTTAATTTCATCCGATCCAAGACCATTAGGCAGTAGTTACCAAAACTCCAATCCGACGCGTATCACGGTAGTCTGAGAGCGATAAACACCTTATTTTTAAGACATTCTGATATTTCAAATTTCATATGTTTTTTATGTGAAACAGTGAACCAATACATTCCAAAAGTACAGCCAAGGATAAAAATATAGGTTTACAAGATTATTCGTAACGTTTACATAAAAAGCCTCTTTCTACCACATTAAGTTTATATTGTATGGTATATCAGAAATTGTATTTTAGTGTGTTTAATTGAATTTTGAAAGGAATTTTATGTATGTCATTTTTTTGAAATTGAAACAAATAAGATGTTTCTGAAAAAGTTTTAATTTTCGCATTTTCATAACTTAATTTAAGTTGTACCAAGTATTACTGAAATCAAAATTTTCTTTCAACCCTGTGATAATGATTAATACAAAAATCAGCTGCGGTAACCTGCGGTTATGGTAATAATCTGATAAATTCGATTAAATTTAATTTGAAGTAACAGCAAAAAAGCTGTTAAGAATTCTGATCATATGATTCTTCCGGTTACGAAAAACCGCGGAAACATACAGAAACAATGTAAATGAAAGAAACTTAAAAATAAAAAGAAACTTTAAAAAAAGAGAACGAAATTAATGCTGTTATATTGTTTAAGCTTAGTGCCATGTTTTGTTTTATCTTCATTTACTTTTAGGCCGATTTGCCTTGCTTATCTTATCATAGTATCAGCGAGTCCCCTCTTGATAACGATATGAATATACACATAGATGTTTATAATTAATTCGATATATAAGCTAACGCTTTTTCATTTTTATCATCTAATTATATAGGTATATAATATATTTTATTTCGTATTAATAAAACCAACCATAACTAACGGCTGCTCTCATGAACATGGTGTTAGGCAATATCGAATCTGAAAACCCAAAATTCAGCAAAAGATTCAGTTTTTACTTGTCTCTTCTGAATTATAAGTTTCTCAGAGTTTCCGACAGCTGTGCATTGCTTATTAAAATAACACTCTTAAGAACGTTGAGTAATGCCAAGTTTGCTGTCAGATGATCTTACAAAAACGAATTGAGACGTTTAATTTTTAACAATTTAGCAACACATTAATCACAGTGTCCGGTAAAATCTGAAAAGATTATGCACATCAGTGAAGTATCAAGAGACGGAAGAGTCAATCCGTCCTGAGCCTCATTTCCCAAAGGCAATAGAAGTATAATTTTACTTTTTCTGAATATACGTCTACTTAATTTAATAGCAAAATCGTCATATACATTTTATTTTACCAAAAAGACGAGAAGGTTAAAATTAAAAAAAAAACCATTACCATGATTTTTTTTTTTTTATAAGGCCTCAAATATTGATTCTACCCAGCCTCCAAAACGTCCAGGTACCCCACTAACGTATTACAAAACACCAACACCCATAGCGAAATCGGAGATTATGATCTGCTGCATGGTCGATGCATTCCAACATACATTTCATTATATGTCACCTGATCTTGTAATATGATTATTATAATTACTTATTCATAAAAAAAAATGTAAACTGATTCACAAATGTTTATTTAACAAAAAATATATATTACTGCGAATTTTCTTCAGAAAATAAACTAAAAATAAAATTTAAAAATCAAAAACCTTCAAACAATAAAAACAACTAAAATTAAAGAAAACTGAAAATCAATTAAAAACTATTCAACTAAAATTTTATCTTTGAAGATACTAAAGTTCTTACTTTGAAGAAATTTGGCATTGGGAAGCAATTAGGTTTATCGAAGAGAAGAATAGTTGGGGTGCTCAGTCAAAAAGGAAGGCAAAAAATAAATTATAATATTTATTTTTTACATATGAAAAAATAAGCATTTTTTGATGAATTGATGAACCTAATAAATTAGGTTTATCAATTGGAAGCACGTTGTTTTTAACATTTTGATGGAGTTCAACTTAAAGATTCTAGGGGTATTCATGCATCCAGTACTAAGTATTGTAAACCTCCTAAATGTGTAAAGTCGAGAAAATTATTTACGAAATGAGTGCTAAATATGGCCGCAAGCACTCTCGATTTTAACGCAGCTTAGGGTCCTGTAAGTGTTGTTAACTTCTTAAACGGACGGAGAAGGTTCTTTGTTCCTTGATTGTGTATAATATCCACAGAAATGGAATGTAAAGATACCTTCAAAATCATCTAAAACTTCCTTCATGCTTTGTAATATAGAATTTTATCCAAATAATCCAGCAACTCAATTTATACAATTAGCTCTGGCATTTTAAAAATGAATCAAATGTTAGTAGAAAAATTAATAACTAACAAACGTTGTTTATAGTATGTGCAAAACCTTCCTATAACTAATGACACTTTAGCACGTCAGCACAGACAGTTTATTTACAATTCATTCAAAACTTGTGCTGACTGCTCAGCATGATAGCGCATTAAGCATTTGCAACAAGTGCATAAATAATCCTCGTAATTGTTTTTTTTTTTTTTTTTTAATATTAGATTGTATTCATTTATACATATTGTACTATAATTATTGAATTAATGCATTAAATATGCTTACATACATACATTTAATTCTGTAATTATGACATCAAATAATATTTAAAAGTATTGTTATTCTTCATTTAACGCGTTAAAAAGATAACTGTATCTTTCAATATTCCTTTGCTTTTGCAAATACCTTCTGTAATGCACCCGTACATACAGTTTGTGATACGATTATCAAGGCTCTCTATATCAGAAGATATCGATTGGTCTTTTTTATTTTTGTTTTAATTGTGTAAGCAATTCACTTTAACGCCCAGGTTTTTCCCATAGCAGTATAGAACCGTAAAAATACTACTTACTTAAATTCTTGCAAAAAAAAATCCATATTAAGAAATTATTTCATAGGCTAAAGAAGTAAAAAATAATTCTGTTGTTTCAAACTAAGAATCGTATTAAATATACTATGGAATAAAAATTAGAATCAAAGTTAATAATAAAACATGTATCAATCTCAATATTGTTTTATTTGAATTACAATGTAAATATACAGACATGTCTTTGTAAAGTAAAAATATATTTAATTTACATATTATTAACAAAATTCTTTCATATTAAAGAAAATTCTATTAAAGACAAGAGATTTATGACATAAATAATATTTTTCCAAATTTATAACTCCAATGAAACTGTTCACCGCTTGATCACTTTAAATCAGCATAGTTTGGTGTTCCCCTCCAATGTTCGTTGTTCGGAAACCATACCCAATAATAACACCGTCCGGAAATAATTACTTATGGCCATAAAAACCACTGCTTTCTTTGAAGTCATTATATTTGGGAACTTCCACCTTGTAAGGAACTTTAACCTCTACTTTATAAGGCACCTTGACTGGGTACGGCACTTCCTTCACTACGGGATAGGGCACTTCTTTCTCTACATGGTAGGGAACTGGCTTCTCCACGTGGTAGGGGACTGGTTTTTCGACAGGTACTTTAACTTCATAACGAACCTCTTTGTAAACTGGATACGGAATTTTTTTCTCGACTGGGTAATGCACTGGATACTTCTTCTCAACAGGTACTTTGACTGTATATGGTACATGCTTTTCTACATAATATGGAACTTTCTTTTCAACGTAGACATTATAGGGTTTGGGTACTTCAACAGGGTATGGCTTGTCTACTTGAACTTTGACTTCGTAGGGTACTTTCTTCTCAACGATATAAGGCTTCGGCACTGGAACTTTTACTTCGTACGGTACCTTCTTTTCAACGTAAACTGGGTAAGGTTTCGGTACATAAACTGGATAAGGTTTATCGACTGGAACTTTTACCTCATAAGGCACGTGTTTCTCTACTTCCACAGGGTATGGTTTCGGGACCTTCTTCGTCACCGTGATGGTCTTGACGTGCTCGAAGTGCTCATGGCGATGCTCCTTCGGTGACTCGTGCTCGAAGCCAGCGAAGGCGGCCGCAGCGGCTACCGAGCAGAGGAGCACTAGATTGTATAACATCGCTGCTGGTACTGCCTTCTTGGACGAGGCCCTGCCTTATATATGTTTCTAGAACATAACTTTCCGCAAGACAAACTTTAGAGATTGTTGGTCCATGTGTGACATTGCATAACGAATATCTAGAGTTGCACTAATGACTTGTTATATCACTAATATAAACAGTAAAACTGACCTACAAATGTTAATACAGCAAAATCCTGTCTAGTAATAAATTCCTTTAAATTTATTTATTTTTTAAATTCATTTTTTTTTATAAGAGTGCTACCAATGGGTAGTTTCTCAACTTGTGCTTCATGTCATTATATCCATGTACGAATTTACTAGATGTATTTTTTTAATACAGTTGTAAGTATCATATAAATAATAATAATAATATAACGATAATATATATTTGTTTATTTAGAAATATTACATTCTGTCACATCAAGGACATTTATAATAGTGTTCAGAGAAAGCACACTCACACTCTATTTACAATAAAAAAAAAATAATACAGAAACTTAATAATAATAAATACAATAAAATAAAATAAAAATAAATACAATAAAATAAAATAAATGTAATAATAATAATAAATTAATTTTTCAATTAAGCTAATCTTAAATGTATAACTTAAACTCATAGTTACCTTTTAAGAGGCCTGGAAGCTCCTACTTGCGAGAAATGTAACAATGCACCGCAAACTGTGAAACACCTTCTAGTAGAATGTTCCCAATTCGAAAGGCTCAGAGAAAAAATAGAACTAGGAAAAACCCTAAGCGAAATACTAAAAGACAATGAAGAAAGAGTCTCGATCGTGTTAAATTTTTTAAAAATTGTAAACTACTATAACAGAGTATAAATCACAGAAAACGCCAATGACCCTTTAGGGTAGAGGCGCGAAAAAGGAAAAAAAAAAAAATGTATAACTACTATTTGGCCCGTGCGAATAATTTTCGAAAAATATTGGTCAGTGAACAAATGACAAAAGAATAAAGAAACAAATAATCCAACGTACCACATGACGAAGAAATCATTTATTATTTTTTCGGTAATTGTAATCGATCAAGAAAAAAAATTATTATAAAACTTAAAATCTTAAGTAATTACAATAAATAGACTTTTTTGGGGGGGATTTAGTAATCATTCAAACAATCATGGGTATAATTGATAAAAATGTATCCTTTTTTAATTACTCGCAAATAGTTTCTTTTCCTTCATAACTTTTTTCCTGAAATTTTGGAGAGATGTGACTATTTTTCTATCTGAAACAGAAAAAGTTCTCAAAATGAGGGGTCTATCATCAGATTTCATGAAGATATGGAGTACCGACAAAAAAACACCTTTGAGACATAATAAATAAAAATTTGCTTTTCTTAAATGTTAAGAATAGGAGTTGTTTGTAATCATATTTTTAATCTTTAGAAAAGCATTGATTACGGATGTAACTGTAGAAACCGGAAAAAAAGTGCGCTAACCCTATTGGCCCCTTTTCTACAAAAAAACAACAACATTTTTTCAATTTTTATAAATCGTTCATTTTCTAAATTGAACAGTTTTGACTTACAACAACCCTCGTAAAAATCTGCAACAAAAAGGTCCTAAGCATGCTTTAAGCCGTTAAAGACAAGCTAGCCATCTCTAATGTAGGCTGTTTTATAGATGGTTAGTATATCCTAATTTTGAACATAAGTTATTTATTTAATATTTTTTATTTCTCTTGATCTACGTGAATTACTCCCTTCCTACAACAAAACTTCGACCAACAGGAAGGGTCGAAAAAGTATAGGAAAAAACATAAAAATATTTTTAAACGGAACAAGGCGAATCTGGGAGAGGAATTCCTTGGAGTAGGAACAGAAATCAGTCAAGATAGTTTGCAGGGCGGTCGGTGTGGCCGAGTGGGCTAATGTATATGCAAAATAAAAGTTTCCCGGTAACCTAATAAACTGAAGATTACGACTTGGAATCCCAGAGCTGGGTGGGATTTAAACACTCTGGCATTATTCCCCCGCCTTCACCCTATGGTCCGGAAAAATTCCCGTATAGACTAAAAAGGTTGGGGAGAACAAAAAATTGCTTGGAGGCAGATTGTCCTTTTGAGGTGCTCGTAAGAAAATTGTAAATTAGTGTCTAACAAGAAAGGAAGAACATCGTCACTAGGAAGACAGGAGATAGTCGAGACTAGACAGCATGATGACATTAGTGGCATCAGGAACACGAAGAAGCCAGTAGCTGAAAATCCAACATACAGTCAAATGAGTGTAGGGGCGGAGTGGCCGAGCGAGTTAACGTGTGTACGCGTTGCCCAGCAGCCTGATAACGGAAGTTAAAGACAATAAAATTATGAGTTCCCCCGTCCTCGCCCACTGGTCCGGAAAAATCCCTGTATAGACTAAAAGGAGAGAAAAAAAACATACCGCTAAGTGATAATATTCATTCAAAAACATAAAAATCTGTGTTGAAAATCGTCGTAGATTTAGTAGTCATAAGTAATCAAGTAATCAATACCCCAATACAATGTTTTAAATATATTTATGTCCTTTAAAATCACAAATAGTCTTTCTTAATATTTGTCACCATTTAGATACAAATAGTAAATTTATAACGCGATAATCTTGGAAAGGATATCTAATCAGTAGTATTAATAACTCAGTCTATTATATCACTGCAGAGGAGCCTGTGGTATCTAGTCATTTCTTATTCATGTTGAATATAATTACTATATTCTTAAATATATTAGCTCCCTTCTAAAACTGATAGAAATATCTAGAACCCTCCAAGTACATTTCGATGAAGATGCAGACTCCATTTATTAATACTAATACTATCCTAATTCCAGTTGCAGGAGGATTGAAGATATCGATTGGCGATCGCTGCGGAAGGATAAAGAGAGGACGGAGCTGGAGGTATACCGCTCCTTCAAGACAGCCCGGAGTTGAGACCACTTCCTTAGCTAACTAACAAGGCTGAGGCTGCCTTTGGCACTCCTTCGTTAGCCCCCAGCTCTGCAATTTGTATCTCGTCCCGCGAGGTTGGCACTTGGCAGCTCTGTTTTTAAAACACTCTTCACAAACAGTATACATTTCGTTAGAGGAACGAGGGGTTTGACAAATCACTAGAATAACAAATCCATCTAAACATACACAAGCACAAATCGCATGATTTATACACAGGCAAATGGATTTGACAAAAAAATTACATCATTTCAACAGAAAAATATTTTTTAAAAAAAGGTTCAATGTTGATCGAATTTCAAAGACTCGTCAGTGATACCGTTGAGGTCCGGAGAACATCAAATAAAAGTAGGTTTCTTCAGAAGTTCTCACTAGATAAGAATAAATTTTTTTTTTAAGTACTGTTCGATTTTTATTTTAATGTGAGTTTATAGTCCAACGCATACAAGGATTATATTTGCAAGAGTCAATGCGTTATTTTTGTAGAAATACAAAGCTATAATGCGTGTCATTAGAAGTATCTAATACTAGACAATTTTTGTTGTTATAGATGAAGTATTGGTAGAACCAGTACAGAATAGAATAGAATAGAAAATAATTTTATTCTGGTACGAAGTCCCTTTAGAATAACAATAAAGTGTTACATCTAGCCTAAGTAAAAACAAACATAAAAAGTAAAAATAAAGAAAATATTAGTTCAACATACTATCTACAAAATAAAAAAAATCTATATACAAAACACTTGCCAAGACACTTAAAATTATGTACAGTGGTCAAACATAAGTTACATTTAAAAATAAATAAATAAAAAATACATTACATTCTTCTTAGCAGTAAACTCTGTGTTTCTGCAGAAAAAAAAAGAAGACGAATCTGATAGTAAGTATTTAAGCGATGAATTGTATGTAAATATATCATTATGTTTTTTTTTTTTTTTTTTTTTTCTAGTCACCTCCTTTGGGTTTGGTGCCATTTTATGTAAGTAAATCCAGTCCTGTATGAATGCTCTATTGAAGAACAATAATTTCTTGATACCGTCAGCAAATAGAGGTATATAAATCGAAAATTAAAAAAATTTTAAATTAATTATAGCAATGTATTTTTAATTTATTAATTATATATTACAATTTTTAGAAACGGAAAACGACATTCTTTGAAATAAAAGAATGAATTAGGACGAATCATATCGCAATGATAAATTTTAAAAATTTTATGGCGAGGTGCATGGTAGGTGGATGATACAAGTTTATTCAAATATAAAAAAAATAAAAATTTTAAACTAAATGTATTACTTGTGAATGTTGAATAGTATGTGTCTGAGGCTGTACATGAATGTTAAAAAATAAATTAAAATTAATTTTGCAGGTTCTTGAAAATGGCTCCTGAAGCCGAAACGTTGAATAAAACATACAGGAAATAAAAAAAACTGTGTTTTTTTTTGTGACCTATGGCCTAAAATAGACATATGATATATCATTATGTGAATCATTTTGAATAATATGTAAATTTACATAAAAGGTTAGCGGAGGGTGTCTGGCTGTTTTTGGAATAGAATTAGTATAATTTTGCATTTAAAAATACCTGTACCACTACAACCCATGAAGGGTCTTGGGTTCAGGACTATTTAGTGAAAGCACGGTTTCTTGGTCAACGACTGTGTAAGGAGGTGATTTGTCCGAGATCAGGCTCAACCGCCAGGTTTTCCCCCTTAATTAATTATTTATATTAAGGGTAGCAACTTTATAGTAGAGGCTGGGTGTGCCCGAAGAGAGTTCTTCCGAATAACTGTCATCCCACGATCAATGAACCAGAATAAATATTTTCTCTGCCGTGAGCCGGGATTCTAACTTGGGACCTACCACTGAGCTATTCCACTCACCCACTTTTGCATTTAACTATTCTAATTTTTCATTCGGGATTTAGTTAGGTTCCCCCATTCTAAAAAAAAATACAGTAATATAGAGATAGTATGCAGTGGTAGGTAGAGTTATTATATTTTTTAAAAAGCGATTAAATTTCCTGCAAAATTATAAAAAAAAAGATAGTTATATTACTATATTGCTG